GCAAAACAACAAAACCAAACCCAACAAAATATCATTGCATTAGTGAATGGTGTGAGTTCATCACACACAAATCTTCAACATCTGTTTTTCCCTAGAAAGAAAGAATGATTAGTTAATCATTTTCTCATACATCTTTTAGGACTCCTTCCCCATCTCATTAAAGTAAACCAGGTCAATAATAGAGCTTCACTGAACCATGTCATTGGTGACCTTTACAAAAAAGTATCCATATAATTGTCAGAGATTTTTAATGATTAATTCAGTTTACGTTATTTCTTATTTTTTTTCCCCTTAAAAAAATTATTGATGAGAGAGGTAAGAGATGGGCGGAATTACAGGCCACCAACGGCAATGGCAGCTCCGACAGCGAAAACGGTACCGCCTTGAGCGCCGTGGTACATGACGAGGGTGCTGCCGTAAAAAGACATGAAGGACCAGATGGCGAAGACGATGCCGTTGCTTCCGATGGCTAAGCCCTTAGCTAAGCCCTGCTTGAGCCCCAATTTAACAGATCCTTGTAAAGCTTCAGAGAAAGCAGCTATGGTCTTGCTTTCTCCCACGAAGGAATACACAGTTCTTATGGAAGATATCGCCTGCTCGGCTACTGTACCGGCGTGATTATACTCCTCTCTGATCTTCCTCGCCAACCCCATTAGAGTCCTTCCGTAGAGTAAACCAGGGATCACGAGCAGCACCACGAATGGGAACCCCACAATAGCCAGCCTCCATAACATCGCGAAAGCCGCTACGTAGCTCCCGATGAACATAAACACGTTCATCAAGAAGTTTGGCACCTACAATTTTCAAAGGAAGCCGTCAAAGTTCTTAAAATCCGAAGAGATCTTCTTGCCAGTTGTTATTAATTTTCTGAGTTACCTTCTCAGCAATAGCATCTTGAATTACAAGGCTGTCGTTGGAGACGCTGGTGATCACCTCCGACGTGCTCGTCACGTGCAGATCAAAGTAAGCAACATCCTGTCTGAGCACCGCTTTCAAATACCTAGCTCTCATTCTGGCAGCTTGCCTTTCCCCTGTTCTGGTCCAGCAATACCCCTCTGAAATCGCCACAGTACAACACAGTCACTTCTCGGCCATCCAAAAAACCATGAGTACTAGAGAGGGATCTAACACTCAAAACTCACAAATATAAACTCACCGAGGAAGCAAGTGAGGAATGAGCCAGCAGCCAAATATAGCAGGGCCACCGCATTCTGCAACTCAAAAAAAAAGGAGTAAGAGACGGATAAAGAGATATACGGAAACAGAGATATATGTACATGTATGTTCGTAAAGATAAACCAGACCTTATTAATGGAATTTGTAAAAGCATTCGGATCGATGGTAGGACCAGAGCCTATATTGTTCATCAAGCGGCTACTGATGAGAAGGACGAGAGGAGTGGTGAAACCGTCGCCGAGGGACCCAACAAGGCCAAGGACCATGAGGAACCAATCTAACATATCGGCGTGCATGAAAATGGATCGAAAGGACCCATTCTTCTTCTTCTTGGGAGCCACTGAAGATGCAGCCACACTTGTTTCCTGATCCCCCTCCATAATTTCCCCCCCACAACAACTGACCAATTTGTTCTTGGGAACAAACCAGGAAGTGCGTGACTAAAGATTCGCCCAACAGTTCTGCGTAGGCTTCCTCTGGAAAATAGCTTGGTGTGTTTGAACAAACAAGGTGACCTACAAGCAAATTTTTAGTGTCGCGCTGGTTATTTATAGGAATCAGTGCGCGCGCGCCCGTGTAAACTTGAGGGGCCAGGGCAAAGCGCTGCAACCAGTACCAGACCCTGGAAAACAAAATATATAAGTTGCTCTCTTACTTTTCATTTGAAATTTTTTTTATTAATTCATTTAAATTTAAATATTACTCCTTTTACTGCTTATGCAATTTTTTATTTTCAAAATTCAAATTTAATGTTATTACCGACGATAAAATTCTAGTTTATTTTAAAGTTAAAAAGGGAATCTTTTTTTATCTAATTTTATGTTTGTTGTATCTACATATATATATATGTGTGTTGAATTATAAGAAATTTATTTACGTATGTGATTTTGTGAACATAAAAAGGGGATGTGTGTGTGTGTGATCAGTGTAAAATATAGAAAATATGATAACGTGCATTGCTTATAAGTTATGAGTAGCATGATTTGTTTTTAAAAATGTTATACAATACTTAATAAGCCGATCATTAACTATCCTTATACTACATTCCGTTCTAAATATAACATATTATATTCAGGACCTGAGGTAGTATTAATTATTTTCATAAGAAGATAAAGAATAGCCAGACTATTAGAATATTTTTCTAAAGTTAGTCATTAGTTAAAATATTGTCACAAGTTAACTAGGTTCAGTTTGCTGAATTATGTCTACCTTAAGTAGGTCTCAAGTGTGGCTCAAACTCAACCACATATATGCAGAATTTTTATTTCCACTGGGACCTGAAATTCATGTATTAATTTGTACAGACTTCCGACTTGGTTCTTCGTATTTTACACCGAATGTTCTAGCTGTTCTGCCCATGAGTACTGTTTAATTTAATGGATTCAAGTTTATAGGTTAACTTTAACTAACATGAGTGTAATTAAATAGTTTGAGTCCCTACATAGACGCAAGCATACGAAGAGATCACTCTAAATTATATTCTTAATATAAGATTTAGTTGAGTAATTTGTGAATATTAATAAAACTAAATAAATTACTTAATTGTAGCATATGTTATATGATTTCTCTTAAATACTTATATATATTACTAGATTATATATTACTACCTTCGATTCTTAATATAAGAGCTCATTTGACTTTTAATTTGGTCCTAAATATAAGACCCTAACCTATCTTGTCTCTCATATTCATCTATTTTTTTCAACATAATTTTTATAATAATGATAGTTCTAATTAATACACTTGATTAGCAAAGATATTTTATAAAAGACAATACTTATTTATTACAAATAATTAACTTAACTAATTTTCTTAATCTACTCAAATTAGTCAATTAGTTATTATATTAAGGATCGAAGGTAGTAGTTTATAAGCTAGACAAATCAATTTAAAAAAATATAAATACTTTTAAGTAATTTACTACCTCAATTCCTAATTATAAGAGCTAGTTGACTAATTTGAGGAGATTAAGGAAAGAAGTTAAGTTAGTTATTTATAATAAATATGTGTTGTCTTTCTTAAAATATCCTTGCTAATCAAGTATATTGGTTAGAAATATTATTGTTAGAAGGACTACTTTGAAAAAAAAAACATAAATATGATAGATAAAATGAATTGGGGTTTTATATTTATGATCAAAATAAAAGTCAAACAATGTCTTATATTAAATATCGGAGGTAGTATTTAGTTTTTTTAAAATATCCTTAAATTAATCAACTGACTGTTATATTGAGAAGACGGGTTGATATATATATATAACATCAATCTGATTTTCACTCTCAAAAAAACAACGAAAATTGTCGGGTTGGATCAGCAGCTGGATATACAACTGAGATGGACTATAGGGGTCACAAATATAGTGGGACGGAAATTCGGTATAGTTATTTATATGTGTTAATTTTTTCATGGAGACGCTAGAATTCAATTTTACCAAGTTCTATTAAAAAAAAATCTTCAGATTTGATTTTCAATAAAATATAATTGATGGTTGCTTTTTACAAGGAATTGAAATAGGAGGCGTCAAATTGACATGTACTACTCCCTCTACTTCTATATAAATATATAAACTTAGATCCACTTTGTTTCTACCCCTTAATAGGTTTTTTTTTTACATTATTCTAATTAATTTAGCGGTTTTTCTCACATGTATTACCCTTGTTCAACGAGAGATGTTTTATAAAAAGTGACACACAATTTTTGTACTCTATTTTAGAATTAAATAACTTTTCAATCTTGAAAAACAATGAATTAGAGATAAAATTTTATATTTATATAATAAATTTGACGAGATCATTTATATTGAAAGTTAAAAAAAGATATCTTTCTCTCTCGTCCTGTTCTTTAGACAGAACCAGCAGATTAACCAGCATTTATTTTTAGCCTCTATCTATGGGGTCAAAGTGAGCAGTACTATTTACTTGGGCTTCAAGTTGAGAAAGTCTAAACACGTGAGGTAGAGAGGCCTTATATTAATTAAATAGTGGCATGCAGCTTCGTGTGTGGTGCGAGTGCGAGGAGGAAGAGAAGCTAGCTATGATGTTTGACTCCGCAAAATCGTCATTAGTGACGAAAGTTTGGTATTCAAGAACCCTCCAGAGCTAACAAGCTGGAATTTTTTTTAACATTATCAGCAGAACCGTTCGAATAATTTATTAATGTATAGAACTATAGACAGTTAGGCGGATTTTATATACATTGATTTATATAAATCTCAATGTCAGACTTTAATATTTAAAAAAAAAATGCTCCAATTTCTGAGTCATGTGCAGGCCTGCCTAAATATTTTGGTATTCCAATGAGCTAAACGGCTAATATGTTCCTGTCAATTTATCGGGCCAAAAAAAAATGTTCCTTTCATTTTAATTGATAAGGTGTTTTTGGAGTAAATTATAAATAATAAATACCAATATGCTTCATCGAATACAGCTAAAAATCTTAATTTTCTTAAGAAAGAGGTAAACTTTTAGAAATGCCTTTTAATTTACTCCTCCGGTCCTTATTATAATACCCAATTTGACTTTTTATTTGGTCCTAATTATGAGACCCAATCCATTTTGTCTCTTATATTTATGTATTTTTTTCAAGATAATCCTTCTAATAATGATAGTTTTAGCCAATATACTTAATTAGCAAGGATATTTTAGGAATGACAACACTTATTTATTATAAATAACCAACTTAACTTACTTCCTTAATCTCCTCAAATAAGTCAATTGGGTCTTATAATTAGGACCGGAGGAGTATTTAACACTAACTCCTAATTAATTTACACTTCATTAATGAAGGATATTATTCTTGAAATAAAGTCGTGAATAAATTATTGTTTTCTTCAAAACATCCTATATTATGAGACATGATATGTTGTTCCAAAATTGTCTTATAAATAATCAAAATGGAAAGAGTAATATAGAGTATATTAAAGGGGGGAAAAGGTGGAATGGTCGGCTACTAGTTCAATTCAACTGTATTTCGATGCTTTATTTTGGGGAGAGGAACCACACCTTTCTTATAAAATTCAAGCGTGGAAAGACAGAATATTTAAAACAGTTTATTGGAGTATGATCTAACTATATACAGGCATTAATTCGGAATAACTTTACAGGCTAAATAAAATTTTACGATTCTCAAAAATAGTTCAAGGTTCCTTCTTTTTTTGGGCAAACAGTTGAAGGTTCCTTTGTCCACTTCATCAACACGCGAAAATTATAAAATTTATATTATACAGCTAACCATAACATCTAAATATGGAACCTTACTGCATAAAATATAAAAGCATGCATTCGACGGTGATATTAGAATAAGGAATGCACCAATCATTCGTATGTTTATTCAAAATTTTAAATAGATCATAGCCGGAAGAATTTTAGTTTAAAAATGAGGACTATTTTTATCAGTGTTTCCAGATATAATATCACATTTTCTAACATTATTTCCTCGAATTATTTACCATCTTCGAGACCCATGCTATACCAGTGAGTGGCCCCTAAGGAAAAGTAAACACAAAATTGGTTGATTTTATCCGAATTATTCAGATACAGATATCAAGAGTATCTTTTTATCCAATCATAAAAGCATGTCGTGGTTTAATCCTTTTCAAGACAATGTAGCATGAGGGACAAAGTAAATTGACTTGTCCAAGATATATATCGTTTTCTTTGATCTGAACTTCATTCCTATACGCACACCACCTCTAATTTTTAATATAAGAATTAGTTGACTGATTTAAATATATTAAAAAAATTTGCTAAGTTATGTTAGTTATGTGTAATAGGTAGATTTTTTTTAAATATTCTTACTAATCATATGTATTAACTAAAACTACCATTTCATAAAATCTTTAACATGTGTAATAATTACAAGGACTATTTAAAAAAATAAATAAATATGAGAAACAAAGTAGATTGAGATTTTATATTTAAGATCAAATTAAAAAACAAACTTTTATACTACCTCCGTTCCTTATTATAAGAGCTTGTTTGGCTTTCAATTTGATCATAAGTATAATATCTCAATCCATTTTGTCTTTTATATATTCTTTTTTTTTTCAAAGTAGTCATTGTAGTAGTTGTATATGTTAAAATTTTTATGAAATAGTAATTATAACTAATATACATAATTAATAAGAGTATTTAGAAAAAACAATACTTATTTATAACATGTTAAAAATCAGAGATAATATTAAAGACAGGAGGTATGGTATATATACGTGTGCGCCCCCCTGCGAATACACAGTTATACGGTACACAAGAGGAAGAATGTGTGTGTGGAGAACCTGATGAGGAATCGGCTATTTTCAAGTCAAGAAGAAAAGAAAATGACAGAACTCTTCAAGAGGATGCCTACTTCAGATTGCGAATCCAGGCCTAAACCAAAGACCCGAGACACAGTGGCTGACACGAATCTCGTGATAAACTAATTCAATTAAGCTTCAGAGGTCTTGTTGCTCTTTCCAGCTGGGTATATTATATTATATTTCTCCAATATAAACAACTTTTCCCCTTTTCCTGTTCATCAATAATACAGTAAAAGATGAACGGAATTAAAAAAAAAA